TAGGAAGACAGGACTCCTCCAGTGTCATCCGTGAATTGGAGTCCATATTTTACGAAAGGGGGCCGCCTGAAGAGATCCTCACGGACAACGACACGGCCTTCTGCAGCGGGGAGAGTTTAGGCGTTTCGTAGACGAGTGGGGGATCCGGCTCAGACATCGATGTACGTATGTGCCGAGTGGCAACGGCATAGCAGAGCGGTGCCACCGAAGCGTGAAGAGGATCGCGGCCAGGAAGCAGTGCGCGATAGCGGAGGCGGTCTATAGATATAATGCAACACCAAAGGATGCCGTGATTGCTGCGATCACACCCGCTAATGCGATCCATCGCTACCGAGTGCGCATCAAGGGCATTGACGCGCGTCTGCCTGATCGGCAGGGAACACGAGGGCCGTATGAGTTAGGGGACACCGTCTGGGTGAAGCCTCCCAATAGCCGGTGCACCACCAGCTTTCAAAGAGGACGAATCACCGGCATCGTCAGTGAGCAGGCAGTGCTGGTCGATGGTACTCTGCGCCATGTGAGGGATGTCCGGCCCGCCCTAAATACGAACCAGTTGGCGAGTAGCAGCATTGGTGAATCATCCAACGATGAACTGTGGATCCGACCTATGCACCGCGGGCCTGATGGTTCGACGGCGGACGCCGACGCTGATGCCGATAGTTCCGACGCCCCTTCTGAGAGCTCCGATGAAGAAGTCCAGACAGTCCCCCTTCGTAGGAGTACCCTCAACAAACGACCACGTCCGCAATGCCACATGTGTGATCTTGAGACCAGGGGGGAGTGTGGACATGAAAACGAGAGTAACTTTAGCTCTCGACATAAGAGGGTTCGTTTGTGTCTGGCGTGCAGGGAAGTAATTAATCCAAAGAGAAACACCGCCATTACGGTGAGTCGGACTTATGGAAAACGCGATCTCGGAGCTGTGAGGATTGGCGAGACGTGAACTGGGCCGGACGCATGTTGGTTGGCGTTCGCGGCGAAAAAGGTGACGACGAGAGACCACTCAGGAGTTTTTGGTGTGTAGCGAACTACGAGGCGGTGTTTGAATAATTGAGTGGAAAGATCAGTGGAATTTTGTAGCTAAACTGTCGTGAAGCTAAGGAGTTTTGTTTCTTCCCGAAGTAGGCGGTGCCAGGCCAACCTGTTCCCTTCCTATTGTTTGGACCTAATTTTATCTACAAAACTAAATAGTGAAACATGTCAAATTTATGAAGGATTCCTTCTTGTTCCTTATACAATTATATTTCAAAATGTTTCTATTTAATAATGGAATATATTTCAAGAATTAAAAATATTTTTCTAAATATTTAAAAACAAAATAAAGGATGTGCTGCCTTCACGATAGAATTCATTTAAAAATAGCTAATGAAATAAAGGAAATAATTAAAATCATGTTTATCATTCCCAACAATGGTTCATTGCATACATTAACTCATCAGAAAAGGTGGATTTATAAAAAGTAATGTCCCATGGCAAGTCCTTTAATTGCACTCCTATCTAAGCATCTGATATCCTATTAAAATACATAATAAATGTACTAGTCCATAAATACATATTATATATATATATATATATATATATATATATATATATATATATATAATAAATTTGGAATTGATTATGTGTTGACAGTCTGTGATTTTAGACAAGAAAACTTATGCTTGATTTTTTTCCAAATTATCAGACATGTTTCTTATTAGCATTTCAAGACCTCAATGAAATATGTTTTCTTAAAATATAGATAATTTTAACAAATGTTAAGAAACAATTACTACAAAAATATACTATCATACTCTTAGACTTTATTCCCAAAAGGAAACAGTGCCATGGGCTTGTAAGCTGCACCATGTGGGAGCTTGTTGGTGGAGTGAGATATAGCCCACATTCAGGTGAGACAACACCATCACCCCTGCTAAACAAAAAACAACTGTTCAGTTTGACTCCTGTGAGTTGACTGACTGCCAATTTTGTCACTGTAGGAAGTGACATCACTAAGCATCACATGACTTTATCTCAATCAAAGGGAGATAATCACCTTTTGGGCCCTACAACTTAATTGCACTATAGTGTACTTCATGTGTACTTCTATATTTCTTTTGCTAGGAATTAAACAATATGAACTATGATTTCCTAATTCAAAATTAAAAGAACAATACTGACGTATTACTGCTGGTACTTGCATGTATATTAGTAAAAGCAACCAGTTTAAACCTCCTAAATAAATATCAAGCTCCCAAACTCTGAAGTATAAAGCCCTTAACATCAAGGTCTACAAAAAACTGTCACTTGCAGAATTTGACACCAACAATCTGCAGATGTCAAATATTGATAGATAATTTAATGCCTAATGTCTAAAAAATTAATATTACACAATGTTATAAAATAAAATAAGACATATCTTGGCTGATTTACAGTCAAATAAACTAACATACTCAGGAGCGAGATCTGGATGTGAACAGGACAAGGCCCCATCACAAAATGACCATTATCGTCATTTACGCATATTCTCGATGCACGAGTTCCGGTCAAAAAATAAAATAATTAATATTTTAAAGTGTTTCTATTTTTCGACAAATAAAAATGCTTCCCTCCTAATTATACTTGTGTTGTTTTACAAGCCTGTCAAGCCATAAAAAAACGCCATAAAAGGGGTTACACGGAAGTACAACGGCAGTCAACAGGAGGCCAGGGAAAAGACCTGTCACGGTCAGGCAGAGCAGTCAGCAGCAGCCAGCAGCAGTAGCGCCATGCCAACCAGCGAGAACTACTATGAGAGATCAACCCAGATCTTCAGCCGGCCTATGAACTATACCACAAGATAGCTGTCCCAAAACCACACGTTCCTATTGAAATAAATCACATAAATCTATTTCTACTGTTGTCGGATTTCTTTCTTGCAACCATACGCGCTTGTCTATAATGACAAAATAATTTGTTCAGTGATATTGTGGTGCACCCAACTCAGTTGGTCCCCATGGCATGTTCCTTATGTTCTCTATAGATAGGCTACTGAACATCAGTAACATGTTCACAAAATTGAGGTGTAAAAATGCAGCAATTTCAAGTGAAAGAGAAAAAGATTTGAAATGGGAGAGACAGCAAGGAATTTTAGTGGAGTAGTTTCCTCTTGCTAGACAGGCATTCTTGAGACTTGACAACAAAAATAATAAACATTATTAGATTGTTTATTTACACTGTTTATTTTATTATTTATTGAAATGCTTGGCAAAATATTGGTTAATCGCCAAGTGATTCAAACTTTATAAAATGGTAAATGATAAGAATTTCCTTATACTTGGTTCACATATTTTAATAAAATAAATGTTTATAAATTTAGGAATAAAAAATTCTTTACACACTTATTTTCTTTATAATGTAAATGATAAATATTGCATTAGTTTTAATTGTATTACTTTTTAGAATGTTGTAAAGATAGAATTATTCTTGCAAATAAATAACCTAATAAATAAATAGAGTTTAATATTTTTGTTGTAAATACTCAAGAACAAGAAAAATGTATAAATTCACTTTTGTCATATGTTTAGGCTTTTATTCCAATTCTAATCATTGGTTTTTAAAACAATAAACATTGCTGCAAACCTTTGATATATCTTTTCTTCCACTTATCTTCACAAACAGGAATGGTCCATTGTTTATTTGAGGTAATGGCAGCATGTAACATATGTATTAACTAAGGAACACACAGAATTACAATATGATTCTTAGCTTTAGGGTTTTTTTTTTCATTCTTTGGTAATGTAATTATCAGCATGGAATATCAATTCCATTTAATCAATTGCTCTATTCAAGTTGCTGTCTTCCTCTAAGACTAAGTGCCTGGAAAACAATAGTCAAACCAAAAGAAAAGGCAGGAGCTGAGAGAAAAAAAAGTAATCAGTAAAGCAAAAAAGAAAATGAAGAAAATCTTACCATGCTAGATAATATATATATATAGATATAATAATGAGAAAGAGAGGAAGAGATACTTAGTATACTCACATAGAAATTGTTCCTTCAAACATGTCTTCTTAAAGAGTATATACATTTATTTTGTGTGTGTGTGTGTGTGAGTCTATTGAGTTTGTTCATCTTCCTCACCAAATTACAAATTATCCTTCACAAAAACAGCATGGAATGTTTTGTAAATTCTGTATGAATTTACAAAACATTTATGCCCGTTCTCACAACATGGTGGTGGAATGGGGCTGCCTTCATTTTTAGATTTGTTCTATTAAATTTAAATATGACCTTAAACTAAATGCACTTATTACGACTACTACTATTTTTTTATATAATACATTAATTACACAGCCCTGTTGGTTTTGTAAAATTCATCTGCTCCAATATATATATAGAGATTGATCACATGATGTTAGGTGGTCTCTCATTGGTTAATAAAATCTTGTGGGTTTAGAAAAAGCTGACCACCACCAGAGAAGGGACCAGACCTGGTCTGAAAGTACATACAAGAAATTCTCTCCACAGCCAATGGTACCAGTTGCCAAGGGTTTTAAAGGGACAAGTTATCTAGCTCTATTTCAATCCACTAGATGGGTAAGTCTGCCTGACATATTCTCTTTATATAGGAAAGGACATTGTGTTTATGTTAACTGTTGTATTCATGTTTAAGTATAAATAAATATCCTTATAACATGTTGTTAAAGTATTCTTCTTATGCGTGTCAGTCTCAAAATAAAGTGGGATTAGCACAATAGCGCTAAAGATAACCTGTGAGAGTTGAAAGTTTGGACACACCCATTATAAATGTTTGGGAAATTTTGTCCATCAACAACTGCTGTTTTTATGAAGGAGTTAATCTGGAAAGGAAGATGGACAAATTCAATAAACACAAAATGTCTACACTCTTCAATAAAATTATATAAAAAGAAAACCAAAGGCCAAAACAAAAAGGTTAGATCTAATATTCAAGGTAGCAGTCAAAGTTAGTGTTAGTCTCTTGTGGAAGGAGCTGAGAAACAGTAGCAATAAAATCTACTTACCACCTTCTTTGGTTATCATACTGATTGGCTTACTAAATTTGCCAGCACCTTTGCTGGTCCATGCACAAATTCTCACTATATAAGGCCAATTTGGTTTAAGGTCTTTGAGAATGTATGTTCTTTCTGTTGTGTTGAACTCATTGCAAATGGATACGGTGTTGTTTGGTGTATGTCTACAAATATGTTTTTTAAAACAGACTTCTATTGTGTAACTTATAATAATGCCATTTTTATGCTTTGGAGCCTCATATTTTAATGTGATACTGTCATTTGATACAGAAGTGCCTTGAAGTTGTCTTACTTTTGACGGAGCTGTAAAATAGAATTAAATCATTGTCCATAGTGCACGAATAAAGGTGTAAACCAATTAAAGTTTACTAATTGGAATCACTTAATAAGAACTGTATTTTAGAAAGAAGTTTAAATGATTTAAAATCTTTTCTTGTTTTTCATATCCAACATTTAAGAATAAGGTTCATGACCAAAGAGAGATCCCGTATATTTCTGTGTATAAGGTGACCTTTAGATAAGAAAGGTCAAAATATATAGTAAAGTTTCATTAATTTATCCTATACCTGTAATATAAGATGACTGCTTATTGATTATTTAAAGATGATGTTATTGGTTATGTTGTTACTAACTATATTCTTAGAAATTATATTATGTTTTTACTACACACATCCCCTAAAAGGAAAACCATTGTTTTGGGTTTTTTTTTAAGTTTCATCATATGATCTCTTGTTAATACTGATTCTTCTTCATCCTCCTCTTCTTTTTTTTGTATCTAAACAGTCACAAACAGCCTTGTGTACTAATGGCCATTTACTTATACTTCATTGACAATCACAAAATACTGCTAATAACAGTACAATAATGTTTGATAATAGTAGATTCCACTTTTGACATTTTTTTACTTAGTCATCTTCCTAATTTTTAATGAGAAAGGAATATTATGTTATCCTAAATCTAAATGTTGTTACTGTTATAATTACCACTACCATGATGATTATCAAAAGTTTAGCAAAGGATAAAACCTGCTGTGAACACAATCATAACTCGATGTTTACATTTTCTCAGCTCAGCTTGCATGGATACAAATTGATTTTATTGATATGGGATTATCCTTTGAATAAGAAATTATGAAGTTATGTCAGTAATATATAAGGTAGAAATGGTTTTATTATTTTTTTATTATCAGTTTATTTGATAATGTGAATCCTTTTAAATGTTATTGATTATCAATTCGAGGATGATTTAGTCTATCGACAAACAAATAACAATCAGAATTTAAGTTTCCTTTTTTAGAATTGTGATATAAGATAACACCCAATTTTTAAGGGTGATTTTGAGAAATTAAAGGTCATCTTATATGTGGAAATATACGGTAATCACCTTCTGTACACCTACAACTTAATTGTGCTATAGTTTACTTCTATATTTATTTTGCTAGGAATTAAACAATATGAACTATGATTTCTTAATTCAAAATTAAAAGAACAATAATGATGTATTACTGCTGGCACTTACACGTGTATTAGTAAAAGTAACCAGTTTACATCTCCTAAATAAATATCAAGTTCTCAAGCTCTAAAATATAAAACCATCAAGATCAATGTCAACAAAAAAATAGTCACTTGCAGAATTTGACACGGACAATCTGTTGATGTCAAATATTTACAGATGATTTAATGTTTAATATCTAATTAAAAAATCAATTAATATTACACAGAATTTAAGGATTTTTTTAAAAATTTATTTTAATTACATGTTTAAAAGATTAGAAATGATTGCAATAACAAAAAAATGAAATTACAATAATCAGTTTAGTCAACAGCTTTTAAACAGGAATAGAGGTTTATCCATTGTTCCCTGTTTAGGATTGGGTTTCCATTCCCTTTTAAAGTCTGCTTCAACTATTCTCCACCTGAACTCTGAAATTTTATTTGCTAATTAAATCTTAACCTCTTCATGTGTGCAATAAGCTGTCTATCTTTCCTGTTGCTCTTTTTACACTAACACAACACTACACAGTAACCCTTGGACCTTGAGTGACACTTGGGCCTTGTATTGGGTGAACATTAGAAAAAAAAATGATTAGGAATATTATCGACATCAGTTCCATGATCAGGAACATTACAGAGTCATTGCACTTAACCACTTCCATCAACATATATGGGTTTTAAGCTGGAGAGTTATCCATTTATGTATAGTGTACCATGAGCAAGTAAACCAAGCAGAGCCCATCCCTTACCAGGTCAAACCACAGCTGATATCCTTCAACATGACGGCTTCCACTTGGTGGTTATGGACACACAACCATTGATTTCATTGGGAGAACTCTCCGCTCTGGATACTGACTTCAGTTGAGGAAACCCTCTGCCCAGCGATGTGATGCTGTCACAGCAGTAACTACATGAATAGCTGTGGAGACCATTATACTCAATAGCTGCTAACTGTACAAGAGTGTTAATCTGCCCTTTGACAGATCTTTTTTTTTTTAATTCTACTGGGTGGCTAGCTACTCACCTCAACAAAAAAAAACTTGTTGGGAGAACCACTTTAGTCACCTATGCAGCAGTTAGCATTGTGTTACATTGTACCAATAGTGACATGAAATAATAGGATTATACAGAGCTGATGTCCTCTAATTTGAAGGCTCCCTTTGGTCAGGAACATATGACCACAGATTCCATCAGGATAACCCTCCTCCTGAGATGATGACTTCAGTCTAAGAAACCCTCTACTCTGCAATGCAATGTCATTCTCCACATTGGCTGCATGTATAGCTGCAGTGCTAGTGCCAGATTTACTTATTGGCTTAGCAGGCTGAAGCCTAGAGCCTCAAAATCTAGGTGGCCTCCAGCCAAAATTTATAATATTTTTGACACTGTCATAGGTCTTTCTTACACATGCTGTCATAACCCTTCAACTATTTAAAACACCCATCATCATCCTCAGCTTTACTCAAATTGTTTAATCTAACACTCTTCCATTTTCCTCTACTCATGAAAATTAGGGAAATGGAGTGGCCTCGCAAGTAGAATAGCCTAGGGCCTCTCTTCATCTAAATTTGGCCCTGTGTGGATTCCATTGGGTTAAATAAACATTGACTCTATGAAAAGACTCTTCTACTCTTTGACAGGTCTTGTTTTTAATTCTGTTGAGTTTCTCGTCATTCATTTCCCCATAAAAGCTTAGTTGGGAAACTAGTTTAGTCACCTATGACCTGACATAATAGGATTATGTAGAGTGTTTAAAGCATAACTGTCACAAACACTGTCAGGAATTGTCTACTATGTGAGCCCCTCAGCTGATATTTAGATCCAGTATCTGTTTACAAAAAATCATGAGAGCATTACAAATTGCTGGGAGAACATGGCCCAGAACTGCCTTGTGTGGATGAGCAAAAACACAAAGGTAGGATTTAGGAGGGTGCCTGAAATTAAGAGAAAATCCAAAGTGTACACAATCCAAGCTAGGTAGAGGGAAACAGCAAGCAACTGTTCTAATGAGTCTTTGTAAAGGGGTGGTAAAGCAAGGACATATACAGAGGACAGGAAATTGTGGAGAGCTATGACCATCCATGTCCAGAAGTTACAAAGCACTCAAAAGCTGAAACATATAAGGAGACAAAGTAATAAAGCTTGTACTTACTGCTTTCCAGAGTATTGATGGACATCTGAGTTTTCTTTCCACATATTTCTTTGTTGTAAGCCATTACCAAAATTTTGTACTTGTGATATGGCAAAAGGTTTTTAATTGTAACTTTTTTCTTAAGTGTTTCAACTTCTTTCTCCAAGAACTTTGTTTTAGTGCAAAGTTTTTCTTTACAGGCAGCTGGCAGTGCATAGGTCTACAATGAAAAAAAAAAAGCTTTATTTATCTTACCTGCAATGTCAGGTTTTTTAATTTTTCTATGAGTTACCTCGCTTGAACTAGAGAGGCTAGTGGGCTCACAAGTGGAAATTTGTTATTTTTTAAACATTTTCAAAATGATATATGTGATATTGAGTCCAAAGCAAATCTGATATTTTTTTATTATTATTATTATTATTATGCACTCTCTATCTTAAAAAGTAATGTCCACTCAGTATTGTTGCAGTATAAACAACAATTGGTATTTGAGTGTATTAAACAAAAACAGGCATCTGCAAAAAGTATCAGCTATCCATACTAGCATATGAACATCGGCAAAAAGTATCAGCTATTGATCCTAGCATACGGGCATCAGCAAAATATATCAGTTATGCATACTAGCATATGGGTATCTGCAAAAAAAAATCAGCTATCCATCCTAGCATACGAGTATCAGCAAAAAGGATCAGGTATCCATTCTAGGATACAGTCATCAGCAAAAAGTATCAGCTACACATCATAGAATATGGGCATCAGCAAAAAGGATCAGCTATCCCTCCTAGCATATGGGCATCTGCAAAAAGGATCAGCTATCCCTCCTAGCATATGGGCATCTGAAAAAAGGGTCAGCTGTCCCTCCTAGCATATGGGCATCTGAAAAAAGGATCAGCTGTTCCTCCTAGCATATGGGCATCTGAAAAAAGGATCAGCTGTCCTCCTAGCATATGGGCATCTGCAAAAAAGGATCAGCTATCCTCCAGCAAAAAGGATCAGCTATCCCTCCTAGCATATGGGCATGAAAAAGGGTCCAGCTGTCCTCCTAGCATATGGGCAAAAAAGGATCAGCTGTTCCTCCTAGCATATGGGCATCTGCAAAAGGATCAGCATATGGGCATCCTCCTAGCATATGGGCATCTGCAAAAAGGATCAGCTGTCCCTCCTAGCATATGGGCATCTGCAAAAAGGATCAGCTATCTCTCCTAGCATATGGGCATCTGAAAAAAGGATCAGCTGTCCCTCCTAGCATATGGGCATCTGCAAAAAGGATCAGCTATCTCTCCTAACATATGGGCATCTGCAAAAGGATCAAAAGGCTGTTCCTCCTAGCATATGGGCATCTGCAAAAGGATCAGCTATCCCCTCCTGAAAAAAGGAAGCTGTCCCTCCATATGGGCATCTGCAAAAGGATCAGCTATCCCTCCTAACATATGGGCATCTGCAAAAAGGATCAGCTGTCCATCCTAGCACACGGGCATCAGCAAAAAGAATCAAAACCTGGGATGACACATGCCCTTTATGCCTACATGAAAAACTACACATTATTATGTTTCTAGAAAACAAAAATTTATTAAATCGAAGACATCAGATAATGTTTTTTTCCAACAACAACAGATATTTGCATTAAATAATTAGCTTAAAAAATTTTCAAATTTCAATGTCTATAAACAAGTTCAATTAAAGCAATGGGTTTAAAAACTTAACCCAATCATAAGCTAAAAAAAACCCTTTAAGAAGTTGTCAACAACAAAAAAAACAAATTGTAGTTCACTACGATATATTCATATGCAAACAACCATTTTAGAAAAAAAAAATCTTTATGTATACAAATACACATTTAACAGCGTAACAAAAGTACCAAAAAATTTCTGTTGTTGAAATAGACCAGATAATATGTTTTGTACAGATATCATCATTCGTTTGCAAACAACCCAACCCTACCTTGACTTAACCTCTTATCAAAAGTAAGTAATATATTGATACAATAGTTGTTAGTGAAAATGAATATCCTTCTGCCCATTATTAAAATGATTAGTTTTCTCCATATCTATAGAAATTAATATTACGAATGTATATGCTTATAAAGCTCTGTAAATTTCAAAATTAGTTATTCCAAAATTTGCTTGAGGATGAAACAGAACTAGCTGATTTAATTTAATAAAATTAATTATAATTTAGGCTCTACTTATGCATTGAGCACTGTTTTTTAAAAAAAAAAAAATATACTAAAGAACTTTGGATTATTAACCTAACGGTTCTTTCCTGTTTTTCTATACACACACACACACACACACACACACATATATATATATGGTTGTGTGTATTTATATATATATATATATATATATATATATATATATATATATATATATTAAGAAGAAGAGAGAAACCACAAACGTTTTTGGTTGTAATGTAGATTTTTGGACGTAATAGGGAAAAAATAGGGTTACAAAAATTCTATGGTTCATGCCACTATATAATATGGCTGTAGCTAATAAATTAGAGAAGGAATACTTTAGAATATTAAAGAAGAATTTTCCCCCATCAGACAACTTATATAAAATATTTAACAAAAATACCGTTAAATTGAGTTATAGTTGCACGCGTAATGTTGCTAATTTGATTAATAAATGCAACACTAAAAAGCTAAAAAATAAACAACATATCAATTTCCCCAAATGCAACTGCATTAATAAGGACACTTGTCCTCTTAAGGGAAAATGCCAATATGAATGTGTAGTGTGTAAAGTGGTTGTGTATAGAAACAAGACTGATAATAGTAGTAATAATAGTTGTAGTGATAAAAAGTTTACATGGGTTCAATCCAAGGACCATTCAAAAAAGATATTATAATCATAGAAATATACAGGCATAGGACTTGTTTGTCTAACCATGTGTAGTAAATAAAAATGAAATAAGGCTTAGATCCAACATTAAAATGGGAGATAATAAAAAATTCTGCAAATATGAGGCTGACAACAGGTATTGCCTCCTATATTTGGCGGAAAAATTAGCTATAGCCACTTATAATAACCTTAATATATTACTCAACCAGAAATCGGAAATACTTAATGGTTGTAAGCATAAAACTGCCTGGTTACTTGAATAATATATCTATATTTTTGGGGGGGGGATTGCTGCTTTACCAAGAAAATGTCATTTGGCCAAGACTACTTTTTTTTCCTTTGTTTTTATGATAATTTTTTACACTTTCTGGCAGCCATGTTTTTTTTTTTTTCAATAAAATATCATTTAAGTAAACCCTCTTTAGCCAAAGTTATCCTGAAGTTTCATTAGGTTGAACCTAGGTAGATAGGTTCTGGCTCATTAGGTTTTATGCATATATCTATATATATATATATGTAGAAATTTTGAAAAACAAACAAAAATCCATAAATGTAGTTAAATTTATATCCATTTACACTTGCTTATATACTGTCTACTGAAAACACAAACCTAAATTCGTTTTTTACAACATGGAAGATTGCAGGCTTATCCGGAAATACAGGAATTTTAAAATAATCATTTAACTTTTAGGAATACGTTATAAAAGCGTCGCCCATGTGACTACGGCGTGACCACGTTAAACGGAAAGCTGATCTTTTAAAAATTTTCAGTTATCTGTTTTACTCTTGGATAAGACTTGTGTTTTATGTCCATCGTTTTCGTCATATTGAACTGAATTTGTATTTTAATGAATTTTGTCTTGAAAATGGTTTATTAAAACCGAAACGTCTGACGTCGACAATTCTTTCATTTTAACTACATTTATGGATTTTTGTTTGTTTTTCAAAATTTCTACATTCTGTCGGATTTATATCCATTTACACTTGTTTATATATATATATATATATATATATATATATAGTAAAGGTAATCAATCCATTGGTATATAATCCTAGTAATATTAATTATTAAAACTGATCCAGAGAGAGCTTGATGTATTTATTATAACAAAGCATATGTGTTTTTTACACATATATATATGTGTATGTGTGTGTATGTATTTTTAATTGGTATCACCCCATACAAGACAGCACACCTGCTAACAAGTCATGGGTTACAGTGTGTGAAGGAATTAGGAACAGAGAAATTAATAATGAGGAGAAAGAGAAAAGATTAAACAGGAAGACAATAGATAGTGATTGACATTGTATATAAAATTTTGAAGATTAAAGTTGACTGGAAAGCATAGGGCTGGAGGAGAAGGTCTATAGATGAGAGGGGCAAGAAAAGATAATGTCAGCACAGAAGTTATGGTTACATCTAACTAGCTCAACTGTAAATTGATGAGATCTCTCTGCCAATCTAGTATTGTGCTTAAATTCGTACAGTCTAGATACCACAGGGAAGAGCTTATCTGAACAATTACCAGTATTTATAAAAAAGGTACAGAGAAGCAACCTTACAGTGGTGAGTAAATGCACATATATAAATATCAAGGTAAAATTAGAACAAATGGTATATAATTCTACTGTACGTAACATTTAATTTAAAAGAAGGCTCAATACATTTATTTAGGATATTAAAACATGTTAAAAATCATTACATAGTGACAATTATGTTTCAACACTACAAATGTGTCTCCTCAAGTGATGTTAAACTACTGGCAAATAAAAGATTAATTTCAAAAGCAGAATACTTTAAAATTAGATATATATGTGTGTGTGTGTATGTGTGTGTGTGTACTTGTGTGTATTTGTATATAAATATATTTATATATATGCGTTTGCATGTATGTGTACATAAAATAACGGGGAAGCTTGTGTCATGGCCCTAGACATCTTCAAAGCATTTGATAGGGTTTGGCATGCCGGCCTTCTTCGCAAGCTCCAGGGTTATGGCATTACAGGTCGATTGTTTGACCTAATACAATCATTCCTGTCAAACCATGAACTGAAGGTCATTCTCAACAGATTCTCCTCTAGTTCCTATCCCACAAACGCAGGTGTTCCTCAAGACTCCATCCTAGGCCCCACTCTATTCCTTATCTACATAAATGACCTTCCTGCCGCCATAGATTCCCATGTTGGCATCTATGCAAATGACACCACAATTTATTCCTGTCTCAAAAACAAATCTAGTGTTACTGACAAAACTAACCTGGCCATGCATCTCGAAAAGGACCTCCAATCGGTTGTAAACTGGGGCAGGAATTGGCTGGTCAACTTTAATGCCACAAAAACAAAACTGCTCTCTATTAATCACCACAGAGATCCTTCCTTGCCCTCCATTAGAATGTCTGACGCTCAACTTCTCGAGAGCAACTCTCTGCAGCTGCTCGGTCTCACGTTGACGGCTGACCTGAGATGGAACAAATACATTGAGTCAATTGCTTCGTCCACCACAAGGAAAGTTGGCTCCCTGTGCTGCGCCAGGAAATTTTTCTCCCCGGAATCGATCCTCCAGATCTACAAATCAACAATTCACCCTTGCATGGAGTATTGCTGCCATATATGGTCTGGAGCCCCTTCTGTTTGCTTTGGGGTTCTTGATAGGCTCCAGAGGCGGATATGCAATATAATTGGCCCAGCTCTGGCATCTCATCTACAGTCACTTTCTCACAGATGCGCCGTCGCCTCTCTCTGTCTGTTTTACAAATACTTTCATAGCAATTGCTCCGAGGAGCTGCATTCGCTGGTTCTCAGACTTCATGAGTTCAAGCGCCCTACAAGGCTGGCATCCTGCTCTCACCCCTTCACTATCGAAACTCCTAAATGTAGCCATCTCTTCTACTCCAATAGCTTCATGTCTCACACTTCTCACCTGTGGAACTCCCTTTCCTATTCCAGTTTCCCTGAGAGCTATAATCTCCAGCTATTCAAATGTAATGTCAATCGACATCTCCAGTTGACTTGATCTATCCACTACCCTTCTCCTCATCCTTTCTTCTATCACTCCTGTCTGATCTTGCTCCAAATTTTCTGTAACCCCTTGCGTCCTAGTGGCTTCCTGCCTTGCTTGGGGTGAAACGCTTAAAAAAAAATATATAGATACAAATATATACATGTATGTATATAGATATATAGATATATAGATATATACATATATATATATATATATATATATATATATATATATATATATATATATATATATATGATAAATGTATGAAATCCAAGTTACCGTTTTTTTTGTCATATTGCATCCTGAACAGTTTAAGACCATGATCTGGCAAAATTTATCTCCTGTGGTTTCAATCAGATATCCAATGATATCTCCATATTTCTCTTTGGGTGGCTGCAGGAAGATTTCAACAGTTCTTGCACCTAGATTCAGTATTGTAAAGTTCTGCACGGGTCCAATAACTAGAACAGGAAAAACAGAAAATGTTGAAGAAATACTTGGTAACAATTTTACATATGAAAGTTTTCAATCAAAATTAAACAACGAAAAAATGATAATTTTCACTTGTATTTAATTTTATGAAATGAAAACTAGATTCAAATGAAAATAACATGACATCCAGTCACCCATATAGTTTTTAAGACATGAAAAATTAGATACACACAAAGGAGGTATTTTGTAATTCCTGTTCAGATAAATAAAGGAGGGAAACTCTTTCGTTTATTGTGCTTAATAGAGCAACTTTTTCAGTTATCTCCCCTTGATTTATTTTTTTTCATTTCATCAGGACAAAGACAGAAATTGAAATAAATGAAAGTAAGAATACAGGAATTTCTCTTTACTAATCATTATTTGATTAACAGATTTAAAGTCTTATTGTTTTTCCTTTACTATTACAATAAACAATATTTTTCTTTCTATTTTATTTACTCTTTTGTTTTTATTTCATTCTAATAAAATCAAATCAAGCAGTCACAAAATCAATTGTTCTCTACAGTAAAGTTTTCTCTTTTTCCTTCGTTCTCAGTAACCCCTTGCATCTTAGTGGCTTTATTACATTGCCTGGGGTAATAAAATGAAGGCAATTATTTTTTCAAAATATAAGAAAATTGTATTACATCTTAATTCAGTAAAAATTGATATTTCTTTTATCCGGCTTTTCCACACATCTCGAGTCTGCCACATTTTCAAGTAATATTTTCGACCAGGTTCTAAATTCACCAGTTTCATTGTGCAGATTTCACCATCTTCTTCAATTCTGGAATGGTTTGAGAGTTCTTCATTAATATGAAAATTATTGCAGAGGGTTCCATTTCTTTTAATGCTTAACTGGACATAATCAGTTCCATTTTTGGAAATATTTAGTTCAGGTGCTGCTGGAACTATAAAAAGAAAAAGAAAAATTATAATAATTATTAAAAAATTATTATTATTAAATTATTAAAAATTTATAATAATTACTATAAGTGCTATAGTAATTATAATAATTTCTATAAGCATTATATTTAACTGTTACATGGGTTTCAGTCGTTGTGACTTTCAATGAAAATAATATTTATAGCAGTAAAATATTTTCATATTAAAATTGCATTAATTATTTCAAATTACTTTGCTAATTCAGGTATAAAAATAAATTTAAGAGATTGTAGATTTCAAAGTTCCTTAACAAGAGATTAAATAGGAAAACTGAGACTTGCTTTACTATGATGACTTTCTGTAGCCTAATTGATATAACATATTGAATTTAAAAGTGGTTTCCCTGATGGAAAATGGAATATAGATTCGATTTCCATTGAAAGGTACTTTTTTTCCTTGTATGACTATCAATCTCTAGGCTGGTTGACATTTTACTGCTTAAAAAAATATGAGACATTTACTGAAAAACGTATACCCACTAAATATTATGCTTAATATAATAAGAAATACTATAAGATAAAAAAAAAAACATCCATTAATTATTTAGAAAAATGGATTAAAAATTACTTATATTTGTTTTAGTTAACAAAAATAAAGTCAGTAGATATAAACTGAAAGATTACAAGAGATATGCATTCCTTAAAAAGAATAACTGAACTTCACTTTGCCATCATGGCTTCTCATAGTTCAGTAATTGAAAATGATATTGGATCACTTAGAAAAACTGAATTAAAAATTACTGCCATAGATTAAATGAAGGATTCAGTTCGGAATTCTTTTAGTTTACCTTGATCAACCTACACAGAATGAAGGTCGGTAGACACAATGACAAGATCATTGTAATAACAACAACAAAGATAAGGACAATAGTCTGCATGTAAATAGAATAAATATTTTTCTTTTTATATTTCTTTTAAGTACAAAAATAAAGTCAGCAGATATTGAATCAAAGTTTCCAAGACATGCATTTCCTTACTAGGGTAATTATACTTTGCTTCACTGAAATGACTTCTTGTAGCTTAATAGTATAGCACACTTGGCCTGAAGGTGGTTTTCCAAGTAAAAAGAATAAAGGTTCCATTTCTGTGAAGAGGCACACTTTGCCTTTCAATCTATGGGTCTGTAGGTATTAATCTAATTAAGAAAAAACTGGGAAGTCTACTTAAACATGTTTATCCAAAAAATACTCCATTGATTATAATATGAAATAATATAAGTTTAAAAAAAGTATTAATTTTGTTTACAAAATATCAAATAGGGTAACTGGGTCTTGCTTTGCTGTAACAGCTTATTGCAGCTTAATGGTAAATTACACCTCGATTGAAGGTGGTTTCTAGTCTATAGGAAATACAGGCTTAATTCCTATCAAGAGGTACATTTTATTAATGACTAAATCATAATGGTAATATTAGCTGCTTCCTTATAAAGAAACATTGTGTATTCATTGATTAAGCATCTAATGCCGCTTTTGGTAGAAATCTTCCTCTTATAACAGTTTTTCAGGAAAATAGATTTCTCAAGTTCATTAACTGTTATTTCTTTTTTGCAGTACTGATGTTGTGGGCAGAGTTGCATCCCTAACCTTTCATTTGAAGTGGTATGGAATGTCAATATCTTCATTATGTCATTATTTTCTCTTCTCAAGCCCAGTAGCTGTTATCACTCTTTCCAGTATTGATGGGAGTTTCTTTCCTAATCTTTTATTTGAAGTAGTGTGGAATGTCAATATCTTCATTATGTCATTATTTTCTCTTCTCAAGCCCAGTAGCTGTTATCACTCTTTCCAGTATTGATGGAAGTTTCCATCCTAACCTTTTGTTTGAAGTAGTGTGGAATGTCAACATCTTGATTATATCATTATTTTCTCTTCTAGTTTCATGTGCTATCCATTTTAGTTGTTGTTGTTAGTCCACAAGTTCTGCTATTTGGTCCAGTTCTTCCTTTTTTTTATTCTGCAATGTCAGTTCCCAATGTTCAAAGAATGATGGTCATTGCCAAAATCCTCAGCTTTCACTTGCTCAAAGTCATTTTAACCATTGATCTTAGAAAACGGTTTTACACTGGCAGTTTAGATATTCTGATCCAGTGTGCCACCATGCATGACATCCATATGAAAGTCTCAATCTGATGAGACTATGAACATGACTAGAGTTTTCAGGTTTCATTTCCATCTCTTGTCCAGTAGATATTAAGTTTACTGTTTAGAAAGGGGAGAAAAAAAGAGGGATTGATACTTCAGTCTGTGTAGCCACTAAATATAATATCTTGAGTTATAAGAAATAATGTCTGATTAAAAAACGTATTAACTGCTCATAGAATTTAACACCTTTTCATAACATTTTTGAACTGATAAAAGAAATTAGAAATAACGATGATACGGAATGCCTACCTGTGTAATTCTTTAACATGAATTCTTTGCTTTGCAATCCATCACTGACAATGCTGACAAAGATCTTGTACAAGATTCCAGGTATGAGGGAAGTAATGTTGTATTCTTTCTCTTGTGTACGAAAGACTTTAGAGAAATTAGCTACTTCATCAGTGGTTATTCTAATAGAATATTCATTTTGCTGTTGAGGCTGTGTGTCCAAATTGACATTGAGGCTGTTTTCAGTTGCAGATATAATGTGAATATTTTGGGGAATTGGTAGCCCTGAAATGGAATTTATTTCAATGTAATGTCAAATGAAAAGCATTAGAAATTTTTCCAACAATTTCTCAAATATACAATTTTAAAGCAATGCTTTTATAACCGATAGTAAAATTAAAAATGATATCACCATTTTACTGTTTGCCAATAGTACCTATTCAGGAATTTAGTGACATAGAAAATGTGATTTCAGTCCCTGAGCTAAGTACGGTAGACTTCAACTTGGTTGAAACAGGGCAAGCAGTAACTGAACAGTACTAAAACAAAGAACAAGACTCTTAAAGTTTTCTGAATTTGGATTCCACTTTGTAATCCATGCTTACAGAAATAAAGGATGAAAACTTGTTCATTTATTATGGGGATTTTCTAAGTATATCTTAGATGTGACACAGGTGTGAAAGTATAGGTTCCCAAGTAAGTATCAAACTCACTATTCAGTCATAATTGATCTAGTGAGACAAGCTTACTAATCATCACACCACGTCAAAGTATTTCTTGTTCATTTATTATGCTTAAAATAGTTTCAATTATCTCTACTTGATGACATTTCATATTTCATCAAAACAGCAAAATAGAATTTGAAATAATGAAAATAACATTACAGGATTTTCTTTTCTAATCATTATTTGATTAACAGATTAAAAAAAAGTTTTGTGGTTATCCTTTGGTAATACTATAAACAATTGTTACAGTTTCTTTTTCTTATATTTTATTTAATATTTTTACTTATTTCATTTCAATTTTCCCACCACCATAAAGTTGCCTCCCTGTGCCTTTTTTATAAATACTTTCATAGTAAGTTTTTTGGATGAACACTTTGCTATGGTACCAAGACTTTTTGAATTTAAACGCATCACTAGACTGGCAATGAAATTTCATCAATTTACAGTTGAGTTGGCTAGATATAGCTGTAAATTCTATGCTAGCAGTTTCTTTTCTCACATTTCTCACTTGTGGAACTCCCTTCTGGCTCCATGCTTTCCACCCAACTTTAATCTGCAAAAATTTAAATGCAAAGTCAATCGCTATTTACCATCCTCCTCATTACTCTTCTATTGTTCTCACTCCTTATTAATGTTTCTGTTTTCTAATACTTTCACACTCAGTAAACTCATGTGTCTTAGTGGCTTTACTGCCTTGCTTAGGGAGAACTCAGTTAAAAAAATATCACAAGTTATTTTATGGAAGTTTTGAAGCTATTCAAAAAGTATATAACAACTCAAGAAGATTCACCCAGCAACATTTCACTCTTCTAACCGATCAAACAAGATATATCAAACTCTTCTTTGCATTTTTTATTTTTTGAGACTAGAGTTCATCTAGTACAAGGTTTGAGAGCCAATCAATGTAGAGGCTTACTGAATAAGGTGCGAGATAATGCAGAAAGAGGTAGCAGGAAGTGAGAATAAAAAGAATAGACAATGATTGAACTTCAACTTCAACTTGACGAGATAAAGATTGTAGAGTTCAAGAAAGTATTCATGCCAGAATCTGTTTCATAAAGTGGCATTTCTCAAGAAAAAGCTCTTTCAGTGAAACTTCCTCCTTACAAATGGAATACAGAGGAAATGAGGGTGATTCAATTCCATGGATACAGCATGGAGTGTCTTAGCAGTAAAAATCTAAACTGATGGAAAGAACTGTGCTCATCAGAATGTTCATTATGGAAATTGTTTAATTTTCTGCCTGAGTTCAGCATAGAGATGAGACAAGGGGTGACAAGTGTATGTACACACTTTTTATTGCTTGAAGAGTGGTATAGAAAGTAAGTTTTGTACTTGGCATCACCTCAGAATGTCGAAACTCATAGGAACTGTTAAGATTGACCAATAAAGTGTCCTGAAAGCCATTAAGTGCTGAATCAGGACTGAAAGGAGCTTGCTGAGTACATCGACATTATCAAGGGAGCGAACTCAGCTAAACTGGATAACAGAAAATTCCTCTTTGACACACTCGTCTTTTGATGACCCAACAATGAAATATATATAATTATAAATGATTGAATTAGCATTACAAATTAAAATAATGTTAAAATTTAAAAATAAAATAAATTATTACATTTTTTTTTCTAAATATGCATTGTCAAATTGCAATTGCATGTGTACACTGGAAAATACAATATTAAAAATGTAATTATAATAATTATATTTTTAATTGTAATTTTCCATCAGTTATTACCTTCCATTCTGCCTGCAGATGTTTTTGTGGTTAGATTTTTATTTGTTGTATCAAAATTTTGAGTGAATGAAGAACTTGGCTCAGCAGTGAAATCACTTTGTAAATCCACTTTTGGCTTTGTGATGAGCATTGTTACTGGATCACTTTTGCTTTTTGTCTGTACCACATCTGCGTCTGTTTCTTTTGCTGATTCCAAAGTTGAAAAATCATCATAAAAAGTGTGTTGTTTTGTTGACAATTTTGTCAATGTATCAATATCTGTATTTGATGCCTTTTGCTTGGTTAGTGAGCCTGGACTGTAGTTAAGCTGACTTGTTGTCCCACTGACTGACAAGTCAGTGTTCTGATTGTGTTGTTTGACTGAAAAATTTGCAGAGCTTTTATTATCATGAGATGGTAACTTTGTTGACAGACTAGCGGCAAAGAAAACATTTTCAGTATTTTCTTTAATAGACACTAATTTGTTATCATTTCTGTATTTGTTTGATAGTTTAGCAGTCTGTGTAAAATTCTGAGCTATCTTTTTTGTTGAGGTGTGTTTAGCGGAGCCATCCTGTTTTGTTGACATTGTGTCCAGAGGCTGGAGGCTGTCATTCTGCCGATTAATTGAGAATATGGTTGATAGGGCCATATCATGTCCCTGTTGCTTAGTCGTAGGCATGTCATCACTATTGTCTTCTTCATTTTCTGCCAGATACAGAGAATTACTAGCTGCATTCACAAAAAATGATTCGGTTGTAATTTCAGCCTGTGTAAGTAGCAACTGATCATCTGATTGTGAGAGCGGGTCGATTTTCTGAGTGAAGAAAAAGACAGAGAAAATAATATGAGAAAAATAAAGAAAGAAAAATACAAAGCAATAATTACAATATCTCTCCAGCCAATTTGAATATCTCAAGAACTACTTGCATGTCCTTAAATTTGTCTTGGTTTTTTAATCAGAACACCATATTCTGAGCATGCATAAACTTTCCTGTGTAGTTATTCGATCATCAATAAAACATCACTAAGTTTGTATACTTTGATGTTATGTTGCATTTTTCTAATCTCATGGAAGATTTTACTTTTTTGGCAAAATAGTACATTGGTCCGTTAGCCTCCACTACAACCTTGGTTTTGGTCCCCCCCCCTGACTTCTGACTCTTCCGGAAGCTACAATGACAACTGAAATGTCCTGACTGAGAATGCAATGAGATTGTTGATATTGATTTTGAAAGATCCTTACAGATTGTTTAGAAAAATGAAAGGAAAGCTATAAGAAAAGTGTAAGATCTTATTGAGGAGCTGAACGACAGATTTGTATTGGAAAGAGGTTGGGATTGCGAACTTTCAAAGTAATTGAATTCAACATTTTTCAAAAAGGAATAAATATCAACATGTGGTGGAATTTTATATTAATATATTTATGTAAAGAATACCAATAATATTTACTTGTGTATAAAGAGATACTGAAAACAAAGAAAAACATTATAGGCTTTGCTGTTATGAGTGTGTGTGTGATATTCATATGCTTTATATGAGATGAAATTTGTTGGACAACTAAGAAGTCTTTATGCCTAATGATTGCCATGTGTATGAAACTAAGGAGCAGAGAGGGACAGCTATATAATTCTTTGTAATAATATATATATATTTTCAGACAGATGTCATATATATATATATATATATATATATATTTCATCTCAAGTTATTATCTTGATAATAAGTTGGCAGGCAGTGTATATATATATATATATATATATATATATACACACTGCGTGCCAACTTATAATCAAGATAACTGTTTTTCTAATATTTCAAAAACCGTCTAATCAATTCAAACAAAATTTTTACACAATGTTGGCAACACTGACCTACGCAATCCCTGAAATTTTCTTACTGATCTGCACGATGTAAACAAACTGGCGCCATATTTGTTATCAGCACGGTGATTTGAACGTGCCAAATTATTAGAAAAGTGTAAGAATTTAGTGAAAAGATGGGCCGTAAAAGCAGTTTAAGTGATGCTGAAAAGAAAACTATCACCCCAGAACTCTCAAAAGGTAAATCTACCCTAGAAATTTCTAAAATGATAGGGAGGTGTCATCAAACAGCGAAAAAGTTCACCATCGACCCTACACAATTACGCAAAAGGGCAGATAAAGGCAAGCCGAGGGTTATTTCATGTCGTCTCATGTCACAACTTAAACGAGAGGCCACGAAGAATCCTGGACTTACCAGTCAAGAGCTTTTCAGTCATATTGGGGATCCTACTGTGTCTAAAAGTACTCGGTGTTGGTATCTGAGGGCAATAGCAACAACAGTCAAACCTGTATCGAAGCCTCCATTGACGAGAAATCACATTCAAAATCGATTGAAATGGTTCGAGGACAATATGAAGATTGACTTCTCTAAAGTTTTGTTCACAGACGAAACTCGAGCAACACTTGATGGACCAGATAGATGGTGCAAAGGCTGGGCAATGAACGGACAGAATTGCCATCAGCGTTTGAGACGCCAACAAGGCGGTGGAGGCATAATGATCTGGGGTGGTATTATTGGAAAAAACATAAGTGGGCCCATGGAGAGTACCAGATGGCATCAAAATGACTGCTGATGCATACAAAGCGTTTATGAAAGAGCATCTTGAACCGTGGATGAAAAGGCAAAGAGTTGCCTTCAGAAGGGCCATTGTTTTTATGCAAGATAATGCTCCCTCACATGCTGCTCACAAGACTACTGAATATTTGAAACAGTTAGGCTTCGATGGACCTCGAAAAATGAAGTGGCCAGCAAATTCTCCGGATTTGAACCCAATCGAAGACCTTTGAAACATCATGAAGCGAAGACTGTACGCCAACGGACGGCAATTCAGGAGCAACGCTGAGTTGTGGGAAGCAATTCTTGACATATCTCGTGGCATTACAGCAGATGACATCCTACAATTAACAAATTTTATGGATCATCGACTTCTTCAAGTAATTTCAAAACAGGGAAAGCACATTCCCTATTAATTTGTTTAAAACTGTGCCTTTGTTTGTATCTGCTATTATTTGTTTGATTATCTTATTTATCAGCTTCTTTTGATCATAAACATTCACGTGCAACATTAATAAACGTTTTTTTTGCTCAATTCTGGGAATTTTACTAAACCTTTATAATAATTTGGCACGCTCAAATCACCATGCTGATAACAAATATAACTCCAATTTGTTTACATTGTGCAGATCAGTACGAAAATTTCAGTGATTGCGCAGGTCAGTATTGCCGACGTGTGAAAATTTTGTGTGAATTGATTGGACAGTTTTTGAAATATTAGAAAAAAGTTATCTCGATAATAATTTGGCACACAGTGTATATATGACATCTGTCTGAAAAGTAACACAACTTAATAATGCTTACTAAAACATGTAAAATCACTAAAATTTAACATATTTCAAAACACAGCACATGTCACATTTATCTGGCCCTGATGGGCATTGAAATGAGTCAAAAAATAATTCAGTTGAACCATATTAATTTATTGAATATATATATATAGTGGGGAGGAACAAATATTCATACACATAAAATTTTTAATTTATTGTATTTCCAACTAATGAATAAATATCTTTTTCAGATAATTAACTTTATACAGATGCATAATAACTAAATATGCATAGAAAACAGAAAAAAATGATTTACTAAAAATAAATCCCATCAATTCATTTTAATGAGTGAAAAAATTATTTGTACATTGCAAATTTCAGATTTTCAAACTATTAAATTGCTTTAATACTCTAGATTATTCAAATGGAATATTCTAGAATGTTCCAAGAATGTTATCAGTAATTATTTTTAGCCTAGAAAATACAAACAGAATATTCTGGAATTGATATTCATACACAAAGGTTATCATCATGGCATGAGGTAAAGAATTTACAAAAAACAGATGTTCCACAGAAGATTTCTTCAAGATCTTCAAGGAAATTAATGTGTCAAATTTAACAAAATCTAATGGTTCCTCATCAAGAGTTGCAGGATGATTTGCTTTCATAAATTCATAGGAACAATTTAAAGTCCCACTCCTTTCAGAAAACTCTACTGCTATTGAAAAGACACAAAGATGCCACATTGAAATTCATTCGTGAATATAAGGATAAGGAAAAATTGTATTTGGAAAAATTGTTATGGACAGACAAAACTAAAATTGAATTGTTTGAATGTAATTTTATAAATCATGTATAGAGGAAAGATGGTGATGCCTTCAAACAAAAGAACACAGTTTCAACAGTGAAATTTGGTGGTGACAGCATCATGGTTTGGAGATGTTTTTCTGTAAAAGGTACTGGTAACATATCAGTAATAGAATATTTTGGAAGCAAATTTAATGATTTCAGTTGAAAATCTTAAACTTCCTCTTGAGTGGATCTTCCAAAAAGATAATGTTCCTAAGCACATTGCAAAATCTATGAAGAAATATCTTGCTGAAATTAATGTAAAGTCAGACCCCAGATTTAAACCCAGTTGAGAATCTGTGCTGTTATTTGAAAATTCAAATCCACTTGAGAGCTTCAACAAATACTCCAGATCTGAAGACATATACGAAGAAGAATGGAACAAAATAGCCACTAAAATTCGCAAATAATTAATTGAGAACTACAAGAAGAGGTTAGTTGCTGTAGAAGTGAATAATGACTATTCTACAAAGTATTAAATGAAGATTATGTATTCTTTTTTGTTTAGTACAACTACTTTTCTGACCAATTAAAATAGATAAATGGGATTTATCTTTAGTAAATCATTTTTTTCTGTTTTCTATGCATATTTAGTTATTATGCATTTGTGTACAGTTAATTATATGAAAAGTATATTTGTTCATTGGTTGGAAATACAATAGATTAAAAAGTTTGTATGCGTACAAAAATTTGTGTGTGTGTATATATATATATATATATATATATATATATATATATATATATATATATATATATAAAATTAATACAAATATAAAATTTGTCACTTAGCTTATTGGTGTTATTTTTAGCT